GCCAGCAGCTGGAGGAGCAGGTGTTGGTGAGGAGTGAAAGCCTCTCCCTGTGTGTGGGGGCGGGGGGCAGGGGAGAAGTCCATTCCAAGGCTGCCCCTCCCCTCAGGCGGCAGAGTCCCCTGGGCAGGGCGACTCGGGCTGGGCTGCGCTGGTTCTGGGGCAGCTCCTGGGTAGACCAGCCCTACAGCATTCCCCTAGTACCCAAGCTCCCCAGACACGCCTCCTCTTTAGCAGGCTCCTCTCTGCCAAGGCCCCGTCCCCCCTCCTGCTCCCTGCATCCCTGAGACCCAGGATGGGGCCATGGCAGACCTGACCAACCATGTGCCTGGAACAGGAGTGGCCAAAAGCTGAGCTGGCGTTACAGTGACTTCTACCAACACAGGCTGTTATCCTCCTCGCGGCTGCTGACATTCCATTAGCATGAGTGACCCAGAGTGGAATTTCTCAACCCAACCACATCCTTTCTGGGCTGGGGCAAGCACTCCAACAGTCACCCTCTGGTCAGATCCTTCACTCCCTGATCCTGGGAGGCTCCAGATTAGCTCCTGAGGAGATTTCCTAGGTCTCCCAGCTCAGCACTGCCAGTGAGATTTTCCTCAACAAAGCGCCCTGCCCTGGCTGTCCAGGACATCAATCCAAACGTCTGTGTGCGCCACCTTCCACTCCTGCCACCCCTCCACATGACCCCGGGTACCCGTGCACTGCTCACATGGGTACCGGCAGCTCTCTGAACTGCAGGACAGGCTGCTGGGCTCATCCATATTCTGCTTCATGGTGTCATGCTGCTGGGATTCGCCCTTCCCCCCCACCCAGCCAACTTCCTAGCCAGAAGTTACCCTCCGACTTCCTGTACACGCGCCCCTCCGGGGCAGCCTTCACTACATCAGGATGTGGTCATGCACACACTTGCTGGCACGCCTCTAACCCACCGCTGAAGTCTCTCCCTTCTCGCAACATGGATCAGCAAACAACTCTCCTCCCTTGGAAGAGGCAACTTTGCTGCTCTTCTAAGATCACCAAACCTCCAGGCCCTGTTGGAGCCCAGGGCTCCCTCTCCATCCCATCTATCAGGTTGGGTGTTCTTCAAACAACAGCACAGAAGGCTGGCAGAGCCCTGGGAGGGCCACCCTGGCTGGTAGGCAACACTTTTGGGCCCACACCACGGGCCACAGCCTCATCTGAATGCTGTGCTTCCTGCGTGGGCCATGCTGCTGTATTGGGGGCCGAGAGATACGACGGGCTTGCCCAGCTCCCCGGCCCCTCAGCCAACCCAGCTCCCGGCATGCCTGTTTTATATACTTAATGAATCTAAACTGCCATGTGAAGAAAGGATTCGGAGGCTCTAAAAAAGACGACTATTTTAATCCCGTGGCTCCAGTTCTCCTCTTCTGAGAAGTCCCAGTGTGACCACCCCTGCCCTTCTCTGAATGTTCCAGACAGTCTACAATAAGCACTTAATTACATTATATATTTCTTTTTTGCCACATGGCTTATGAGTTTATTAATAATGAAGATAGGCTCATATCAGTCATTTTAAAATTCAGACACTGTGGAAACAGTTTGTAGCCAGTCCTGCCTGCAGATGGTAAAACCACCATTCGTCTTGTCCTGTGTCCTGTCGTGGGTGCCCCTGCAGGACAGAGCCCTGCCTTCCTCCACATCAGTGTTCTTCTAGCTCCCCCAGTGCCCGGCACAGAGCTGAGCACACGGTGTCAGCTTGGTACTGTGAAAATGCGTGTTGTTATAACCATCCGGTCATGTTCTAGGTCTCGCAATCCATGTTAAATCAGAGCCAATTTCTGACCCCACTGCTTCCCGTTGCTGGTTCCTGGCTAGGAGGTGGGTGGGAGAGGAATCTGCTCACTTGCTGCTTCATAACTGTAGAATGGGCTGGGATCACGCAGCCAACAGGCAACGAGCTGGCTACTCCATTTGAAGCTGTCCAGAAACAAAGCTGTCCAGGGCCTGGGGAGGAACTGGGAGTCCCGGGCATGACGTCAAGATGCCTGGCTCCTTGTGACGGGGGCGGGGGGTGGGAGGNTACAATTATAGAGTAGCAACGAAAATAATTTTATGGTTGGGGGTCACCACAACATGAGGAACTGTATTAAGGGGTCGTGGCATTAGGAAGGTTGAGAACCGCTGTGCTAGACCAATATACAGCACTGCTCCTGCCCTAAAGAACCTGACAGCCAGATGAGGAGAAGAGACAGTCCAAGTTGAGCAATCAGGAAAGACCCGGATGGAGAGAGCGAAAAGGCAGCATCAGAGGCAGGGTGACCAGAGGTGCCATGAGAAGGACACCTGAGCAGGCCCTGAGGGACAGTGTGTATAAGCGAAAGCACAACAGGAGGTAGGACAGGTTAGGCCAGCCTCTCAGGCTGTGGATTCTGGCCTTGATCCTTACCTGTCCCAAACTAGATTTTACAAGCCCTGGTTTGTGGCTCCAGGTTGAGAAAGAATGCTCCCTTTTCTTGGGAAAGCCAGAAAGGTACTGGATCCTGGCATCTGGTCCCAACCATTTGCCTCCAGGTATCTGGCCTGGCTGAGCCCTGCCCTACCCTGGAGGTTCCTCAGGAGAAGAGCCTAGGGGAGGAGCCCCACCAGGCCCTGAGATCAGAGATGAGTGTGTGGGTGGGTGGTGACTTGAAAAGACCCCTAGGCAAACCCCACTGCCCCTGCAGCCCCACAGTTCTGCTCCCTAGGAGTGAGCACAGGCTGGGCCCTACATGCCCAGAGACAAGGCTGCAGCTCAGGGGGGCCCTATCGAGACCACCTGGATGAGCAGGTAACCAGTTATCCTACTAAGAGGTGGTCCCTGCCAGTTCCAGGGACAGCTCCTCTCACAAAGGGAGCAGGGTTATGCACCTGCCCAAGCAGCCACAGCCGGCAAGTTGCAGAGAGAGGTGCATCTGAACACTGTTCCCCCTCACACCAGAGTCTGGCCCTCATCCTCACATCACCCAGCTGCCAGGTGGCTCCCCATGTCCTTTCTGAAAAATCCCTCACCCCAGAGTCTTCTTCTGGCAGCTTCCATCTACTGATCCTGCTCTGCCCGGGAATTTTCCAGGTGCAAAGGCCTACAAGGAGGGCTGACCCTACCCGGCCCAAGGGTTTTACTCCATTGGATTACTCTGGGGCCTCTTCTGTAAACTTCACTGTTAGAGACATGCCTCTGGGGACTCTGAAAGTCTTCTAGGCTCTCAGAGTGCCTGTAAAAAAATGCAACTACATCCACCAGAGTTGGGTTTCCCTAAGGCCTTAGGGAGATGACAGCCAGCAGTCCCAGAGAAGGGGAGAAGGTGGGGTCCAAAGGACCAGGAAGAAGCAGTGCACTGTCAGGCATGAGGCCCTTTTCCACTTTGGGCTCACAGGCTGAACCCCAGCATCCCAGTGGATCTGAGCAAAGACTTTCAGCAGGCTCAGCCTGGACAAGAGTGCCCTGCTCCTGCCCAGGAAAAACGCAGAGCCCAGGCTGGGGACTGTCGTAGGAGACAGGGTTCGTCGAGACAGTGGGTAAGTGGGGAGGAGTGGGGGTGCCTTCAGGAACGTGGCTTCCTCCTCTTCTAGCTTCCACATGGAACAGGAAAGAAGTGACAGCCTCCATGGGCTGGGACTCAGGAGACTCAGGTTGAAGCCTCAGCGCTACCATTTACCAGGTGAGTAGCTCTGGCCAATTATATAAGGTCCCTGAGTCTCAGTTTCCCCATTGGGGGGAGAATCAAATCTGAAAATGTCTAAGATATAGGCAGCTGATACGGAAGACGGAGCAGCAAGCCCAGCACCTGGCCTAGATGCTCAACAATGATTTCTCTTCCTTCTTACCCCTCTGAACTTCTGTCTCCTAAACAGGTTTTTATGTACTTCACAGAGGATTGTCACAAGGTTAAAATTAGACCAGGGATGTAAAAGGCCCCAGGAGCAGTAAGGCCCACATTCTCATTCAAACCTCATCACCCCCCGCCCACCAGGCATGTGTCCACGAAGCAGTGGGCGGTTGCCCTGGCAACCACCGCCTGTCAACCCTCTGGCAAACCCAAGAGATGACGACAGCCACTCACCCCAGCTGGGGGAAGTTGTACAGGGTCTGCCACAGCCGCAGCATTTGTCTGCAGGTCACGAGAGCTTCCTCTGGGCCTTTCAGTACCTGCTCCAGCTTCACCTTCGTGAACATCAGGCTGCGGGGTGGAGGGAGAACGGCAGTCAGCATGCCCTCGAGGGGGCTCCCTGTCCCCAGGGTTTTCTTCCCACAGTGGGATCCCAAGGAGTTCAGACCCACCAGAACAGCCCCCACAGAAGGCAGAGTGCCCATGAGCACGGCGGCCTCGGCCATACCCCTAAATCACTTGAACTCTCCATGCCTCAGTTTCTCCATATTGTGTGCCAAAGCACAAAGCACTCTTCGGCATTCACCAGCGTCCACACCGCTCATCCTCTTGTCCCCTGATCATAGCCTATCTCGCCCTACCCTCTCTGAAGCACTGTCAAGTGTGGTTATTAGTCTTGCTTTGTTTGCAGATCCCCTTTGAACATGTGGCTATCTGTATGCTGACATACCCATGGGCCCGAGAAGGGGATTTGTATAAGAGACAGACCCAGACCCAGAAAGCAACTCTGAATCAAGGAAAGAGGCTAAGCAAGGAATTGGTAAAAAGGTCACTAAAGATCAGGGTTCTGCTTTCTCCTTGCCAGCACACAGTAGGTGATCAGTTAACATCTCCACAATTAATTTGCAAACTTGCTTTCTGACCTGAGATACTTGAGGACACTCATGTTTAACGTTATCAAAGTTAAGGGCCTTCATTGAACTTCCTAAAATGGCCAGCTCCCCTTATATATTCAATAGGATTAAAGCTACATGAAGTCCTATTCGGTCACCACTTAGGAACACAGTTACTGAGCAAAGGGAGAGAGCAACCTCAGAATCTCTTTCAGCCAGAAAACTGAAAGTCCTCTGAAGTAAGAATGGTGCAGGGATGTGGCCCTAACAGAGGGTGGGAAGAGAGGGAAAGGGCTAGTTCCACCAGGAAGCAAGGCCACAGGAGGTGCCCATGCCTGCCTCCCTCTGCCCAGGACACAGCAGAGACCACTGGGAGACTGGCTCACCAGGACTGGGGTGGGGTCTGGATATCCTGCTGTGCCAGGGGTTAGACCTTCAGTTGCTGGGGAGGTCTGGGGACACTTAGAAGGTTTAAGGCAGTGGTTATTGGCCAATGGGTATGGAAGTGCTGTGCTTTTTATTTTTTACCATGGGTTCTGTCAGCCACACGGATACACACCAGCGTCCTGGGCAAACTGGCTGAGCCACTGAGGCCCAAACAAGGCTGAGCCTCCTGGTTCTCACTGGGTGGTAAGCAGTGAGGCCCTTTTATTCCCAGCATCGCTGTTGGGTAAACCCACATGACTGTCAGGCCCTGAACTTGATTGCTGCACGGTGGTTCTGCCAATCTATCTGAGATTGGCAACCAGGCCCTCACAGAGGCTGAGTCCTGTATCTAGACAGGCTGCAGCAGTGGGCAGGGTCCAGTTATGGAGGTCAGGAGTCCACCTGGGAACTTTCCCCTCTGATCTTCCTCTCTCAGGGCCCTGGCCTCCCCTGCCTTGTACTGAGGCCTGAGCTCCAGGCTCATGAAGAACTTTGATGGCCTCACTGCTCACACTTTGTTTTTATTAGACTGTGACTTGTTGGTAGAGATTGAAAAGGGTGGAATTTGCCCCATTCCTCTTTTGAGAGGAGGGGGCTCGAGCAAGTATTTTTCTTCCTCATTTTTCCTCAAACATGCTACGTGCCTTTTCCACTCCTTCGCACATGGTACTCCCACTGCACCCCCATAAGGCCCCTCTCCATTTGCACCTAACTTCCACGATGGACTTTAAACCCCACCTCCCCCAGGAAGCCTTCCCCAGACTCCCAGGATGCCCCGCTGGCCTACAAGGTGACAGGGCAGGAACGGTGGTCCGCACAGTGCGGCCTGCACAGGAATGTGGTCTCAGCGTCCTGTGAGGGCGGCTGCTGGGGAGAACTGGTCCTGCTCCTATTTTCCTTTCCCCGATTCTCAAAGGGGCCAACACTCCCCAAGTACTAGGAGCTTCTACTTTAGGGAATATGAAGTGGAAGACACAATTTCTGCCTTCAAGGTAACAATTAGTGCTACCAATGACAAATTGCCCAGAGAATCAAGTGTTGTATTTTTGGATCAGACTCAGTGCCAGGAAA